CTTGCGCACCATTTTTCATCGAGTGTGCCAACGGACTGCGCCAATCCAGCACAGAACCGCGTGAAGACCAACCTGCAACAGGCGAGCCCGCACGCGACTCCTTGGCTTGTGCAACAGAGCGAGGAAAATGAAAAAGACGAGGACAAGAAAGGGGCGCCGAAATCAGATGTCCCGCGCACGTCGCGCTTCAAACCTTGGCAGCGGCCAAAAGTGAGAAAACTCGAGAAGCGAGAGGAACGGGCGGCAAGAAGAGGGGCGGAAATCCGGACGCTTGTTCAACGCGCGAACGGCGAACTGAGCACTCCAAGTCCGAAGGGCGCTCCATGAAGCACCGCGTAAAAGTGCGCACCCAAAGGACCGTGACGTGCAGGCGAATGGTACGCAACTTTCTTTCAAGGGCGGCGCCTCTCGTAGGGAAAAAACCGGCCTGCAATGTCAACTCGTGATTAACAGAAACAAGGAGAACGCGCGAAAAACCATTTGGTTCCTCTGTTCGGGCGTATCGCGGGGGGGGCGCCCGCAACATTGAACGACGCGGCGGCGGCTTCGTTGATTAGCGCCGTCGTCCGGCCGACGGCAGAAGGGCGACAAGCGCTACGCAAGCGGCGCCGCTTCAGCGGAGGGGGACAACGACGCCCCCGATATAGCGGGGTCGTTGGCAATAGTGGTTACAGACAGGCAGACAGGAGAGAGGAGAGAGAGAGAGAGAGAGAGAGAGAGAAAAAAGAGAGAGAGAGAGAGAGAGAGAGAGGAGGCGGGGGAAAGAGGCGCCTCGGCTGGCGGGCGGTGCCGACATGGCTACAACAAAAAAATGGAAGGAGAAGGGGAGGAGCGAAAACATGCAGACGCAAAGCGTTCCTCCTTCTCCTTTCCCTCCCACCCCACCCTCCAGCGCGACGTCGTACGACGCCGACGAAGACGACCACGACGACGCTGACGCTGAAAACGATGACGACAACGACGACGACGACACCGACGGCGACGACACCGACGGCTTTAAAGTGGTCGGCGATGGGGGCTTCTAGGGAACTCAGGAGATCTGCTCGAAATTGTTGGGCCCAAGGGTAGACGCGGGGGTCGGTGTTTAGCGAACCATCGGAGTATGGGCGGAGGTAGTCATCGGCTGGCAACCTGACGCTCAATTTTACTTCGGCCGAACAACCCTGCGAGCCATTGGTGGTCGTGTTGGGGCTCTTTACTAATGGCCTGCCACCACTTAGGTCTTCTGACGCAAAGTTCGAACCCTGTGGGAGCAATGCCCCACTCCATAAAAAGGCCCCTGGCCGCGAGAATAGAATGCACTCTGTTGTCATTAACTGAATGGGCGGAGCCAGTGAGAATGCGTCGCATCTGTTCTACTAGGCTCGCGTCGATGCGTGCCAGCTCGGCGCGCGCCAGGGCCAGTGCTCCCAGGCCCGACCACGCCCTGTTCGCAATATTCGCGAGGCAGACGAATTCGTTGCACCGTCTGGGCGTAGATGGTATCCAAAAAAGATTCAGCCGTGTCCAGCCGATGTTGCAGGCGCGGATGCGCTCCTCGATCTCTCGCGCATTGTAGCCGCCATCGTGTGTGTGGGGGTCCAAATGGATTAGGTGGGTCATGCATGCGCCGGTTAAAACATCATCTGCTCGCTTGGTGGCAGCGCTGGTGGATGGCCCTGCTTGTGTGCATTCTGCGCGTGGCCACCTCTCGCGAGCTTGGCGCCCATAACTGACGTGTCAATGCAGTCAATGGACAGAACTTGTCGCAGTGAGCCGTCGGGGATAGGAAATATACGTGTAATGTCGTCAATAAGTGCTCCCTTGCCGATGCGACGCACATCGCCTGAGAAGGGGCTGGGCGTGGCAAGGCCGTCACCTATGATGCTCGCATGCTCGAGGTCCCAGTCCTGGATGAGTGGGTAGAACGACTCGATGAACAGTTTGGGCACGCTGCTGTCTCCCACGCGCCCACCTGCGCGCGGATGAAGGCCGATCATCTGGTCGCAGGCGTCGATGTTCATGGTGGCCTTCTCACGGTGTTATGTGAGCACGTTCTCATAATGGTCGTTGTCTGTGCTCGCTTGGTGGGCGGCGCAAAGGCGACGAGCGTAGCCAGTGCCAAACGCGTTCCTCATGTCGTAGCTCTTCATGATGTAGGGGGCGTGGGCCTCGCGTAGCTCGTGGGCTGCAATGCTTGCAAGTTGCATGGGTCCTTCTCGTCGTCGAGCACGGGCGCCTCTATCGGCCCAAAGAGGCGGATCGCACGTGCTGCCGCAGTCGACCAGTCCGCTTCGCACGTAAAGCCGCCCGAGGGGGCGAAAGACGCGCAGCATACGCAGGCAGTTGTTCAGGTCGTGGATTGGATCGCCTCGCGGTTCCCTGCCCTTCTTGCCGGTGGTCACCGTTTGGCTGGTGCGGGACTGCGCAGGGGGCGCGTCGGAGTCACGGGCGTGGGCAAGGAGGTGAATGAACATGACTGTCGGCGCATTGCGGTGGTCATAGTCGATCTGGACTTGGCGCCGATGTGGTGGTCGTGGTGGTCGTGTGTCGGCACCGCTGTCGTCGTCGCCGTCGAGGCCGCGTCGTGTTCCTCCCCCTCCCCCTCCTCTTCCTCCTACGGATGAAGACAGTAGGGCGTGGCGTGGGTATTCGTAGTCAGTAGTGGCGCATCCAAGTCCACTTCGCGGCAATCCAGGTCGGCAGAGGTACGTCGGGAAGAGCATCAGCGTAATGAGCTCTGTGGGCCATGACCTGCTCGGCAAGTACCTGCGGTGCTAGTTGGTCCAGAGTCGTTTGGCCATCGCGTCGAGGTCCACAGCGGCTGCGAGTAGGGCGTCGTGCGCTGGGTCCACACGGTGCTCTCCGAGTGGGGTAATGTCGTCGTCGGGGCGGTTGTATAGCTGCTCGTTGTTGGCGCCGCTCTCAATGTAGATGCTAACGTGTACTGGCGTAGTGGCGAGCCCGCCGTCGATGCCGTCTCGCCCCAGGGCTGCTTCGTAGCGGACAGCAGCGGGACGCGCGCTCGTGAAGGCGAGAAAAGTTCGTTTTGTTCGGGGTCCATGCGCGCGCCCGCGCGGAGCCGAGCCAGTTCCGCCAGTCGGGAGAGGTCTCGTTGATACCAGGCATCGGAGATCTGCTCGTCCAGGGAGTAGTTCCACCAGGCCTGCTTCCACTCGGCATGTTCTCGGGGTCGTCGTGAGATGTCGCGTGGGAAGGCATTGTCCACGGCAGCGCTTGTGCTCGTTATCGTAATCGTCGTCAATCGTAACAGCTGTCGTCGTTGATCCTGAGCTTCCCGGGTCCATGTGGGCTTGCCTGCCTGCCAGGAATAATGTGGCGCGACTGTTCTGCGGATCAGGTGGGCGACGAGGCCCGCGCGGCGATGGGGATGTCGGTCAGATTGAAGTACCCGTAGTTTGTGTCGGCAGTGCTGGATGTGATGGTGGAGGTCATGAAGGAACTGGGGGCCTCGATATCCAATCTGGAGTCCAGCGGCAATGTAGGCCCAGTCCCAGCGCATTGTATTGCGTGGCGTGGTGGACTGTTGGAAGGGCAGCTTCAAGTGAATGAGCATGGGGATGTGATCTTGCATGTGGGAGAGTGTACGGAAGCGTTGGCGCGATCTCCAGAATAGCTGAATTTGGTCGACGATAGGCGTGGCATCCGTCGGCCCGACCAAATAGTCAATTCTACACTGCGGACCTCCATCCCCAAAGAAAGTTGATTCTGTGGTGCCAGAACGTACTAAACGCTGTGAGCGAATTCCGTACAAGTGATTCATGTATGTGCGTGCCCACCGTTGTCTCTGGAGCTGCTTGCATAGGTCCAATGCTGTCGTCTGCCCATCGCAATCGGCGCCGTCTGCCAAAGCCTTGATTAATGGCGCCGAAGAAGATGGGAGTTGTTCTAGCTGGGCACGAATTGAAGTCAGAAACAATACATTACAAGAGTCGCTTACATGTACTCTCCATCTGCTTTGTCGATGTGCGCTGGCTCGCTGGTGGGAAGTCGCCGACAATCAATCGTACTCTGAAATGGCCGCGGAAGGTGTCAACTGAGCCGCCGCGGCCCTGTAGGGATGCAGGTGGTGATGAAATACGTACCAAGTGTCGGGGATGCAATCGTCGTCGAGAAATCGCAATCGCACATCCGCATGCTGCTGTGACGAGTGGACTGCGTTGCCATTCCCACTGAACACAGAAATGTCCGTGGGTTTGCTCGCTGTGGTGGGCGTGCTGGGCGACATGTCTGACGTGTGTACCAGGAAACAGCATCGCGTACTGGTCCCTGAACTCGTAGCTGATGGCCGATGTGCGGCCGTGGTGGCTGAGCAAAGACTAGGGGTTCCAGCCGATGAACTTCGCTGTCTCGAATGTGGACGTCGTGGGGCGAAGCTGCTCGCCTCCTGCCTCGGGCACTCAGGTGTTCATGCCGAACCGCGCCAGCGGCGCACGCGGAGCGTTCAGCCGCGGCGGAGGGGCGCCATGGCAGGCGGCCACTGCAACGATGGTGTGGGGCAGTGGGCATACGATGTGAGAAGCCGGTTCTCACGAGCGGACTCGAGCCGTCCGTGGCCTGAGGACCGGCTCTTCATCCTGAGCCGTTTCGGACCATCCCGGGACACGGCGAGGGCCCCCGTGGCCAAGAATTGCCCAAAACCTCCCATCCTGTTGTTTCTTTTTTTCCGACGCGAGCATGCCTGGGCTTGGATCGAGGCTCGATCTTCCATCTCCCCGATCCTCTTGTTCTGGCATGCGGGCAAGGATCCTGGGTCCTTGAGACCCTGGGGCCTTCCCCCAGGACCAGGTCTCCTCGATCCTTCCTCTCGATCCTCCTCGATCCTCCAGCTCCTCGAACCTCCTCCTCCTCCTCCTCCTCGATCCTCCTCCTCCTCCTCCTCCTCCTCCTCCTCGATCCTCCTCGGTCCTCCTTGTCGAAGACCGCTCACCCCTCCGCCCGCTCCTCCCGCTGGCTCCCCCTCCCCGGGCCGACCCCGGCGCTCCCCGGAGGTAGCCGCCTCAAGCCGGCCGCACCACCTGGAGCCGCAGGCGGAGCTCCTGCATTCGGGGCCGTAAAACAGGGCTACGATCGGGATAAACCGCTCCAGAGCGTTCTGGAGCGCTCTCAGAGCGTTCCGGAACGCTCTGGAGCGGCGCCCAATACATCCTCCAAACCCGCCGATTCTCAGAGATTTCGAGTTATCCCGATCCGATTTTGTCCCGATCTTCGCGTCGTTTTAGGCCGGCCCACCCTCCCCGCGGGACCGGCCGCGGAGAGCGGAGCAGCGCAGCGGCGTGGGCGGCGTCGTCGATGCCGTCGCCGCCGCGGCCGTCGACGCGACCGTCGACGACGACTGCGGCGGCGACGACTCGACTCCTTCCTCGGGGGGGGAGAGGTGGGGAAGAGAAGTGGGGGGGAGGAGTTCGACGAGGAGGATACGTGGGGGGGATGGAGCCCAAGGCCGCCAGCACCAACAGCAGCAGCAGCAATGAGGGGGGAGGGAGAGCAGCAGGAGGTAGGAGGCAGGATGTAAGATTGGGTGGGCAGTGTGAAGAAGTAGAAGCGACGGGCAACGAGGGCGGAAGTAGGAGGCGGGAAGGAGATGTACACATAACTTGCCCTGGGTTCCGGTGAGGAGGGAGAGAGAGAGAGAGAGGGAGACAGATATCGAGAGAAAGAGAGTAAGAGTTAGAAAGAACGATACTGAGAGGGAGAGAAAGAGAGAGAGAGAGAGAGAGAACCCATAATCAATCAACACAAAAAGAATTATACATATAAAGATACATATAAAGAGAAAGAGAGAAGAAGGAAGAGGAGAAACAGTCTGCGGAGGACGAGGCGGAGAAGGAGGACACATACAGACTGGCCTGCATCGAGCAGGAGGACGACGACGGTGACGATCGCGAGCGGAGCCAGTGGCGTGCAGGGCTGCTACGACTGCGGTTCGCTGCTACGATAGCGTCAGCTGGTCCCCATGGGTCGCGCGAGCACAGCCAGACACAGAGCAGCACGCGTGTGAAGGAAACTAGCGCAATCGTACTCGTTATCAGCCGCTAGGCCGAGGATCGTGAGCGGATTGGAGGGGAGACAGAGGAGCTCGCGGAGGACAAGACAGTCGGGGTGGTGGGAAATGGAGTCTGGCGGATGACACCCGAAGGGACAATTGACCGTGCCACAAACGTGAGCGCGAGTGTCTTTGGTAGGGGCCGCTGCCATGCGGGCATCCGCACCGCTCGCCCCCCGCCCAACGATGAGATGCTGCAGTCCCCTGGCACGACGACAGTGACGATGACGAGGAGGAACATACAGACGAGGACGGGTAGGCAGACCTGTAACAGGGAACATGGCGACCCCAGTCCCCGACTTTGGGTTTTCTTTTCGACTGCCCCAGAATTTGTGGGCCAAACCCTGGGATATACAATGGGGTGTGTGGCGTCCATCCTCGATGGGAGTCCGTCCGAACAGCCCCCCGGGGGGGGGCATACGGGACTCGGGCACTGGGGGAGAAGCCCCGCCTGCTGTAGGAAGACCTGGCCTCCGAAGGAGCAGGGACACCCCAGTAACCTGGTTGACGGTTTACCGCCGGTTCCCATTTCCAACGTCTCCACGCACGCTGAGCCGCGTGCGTGTGCTGTGTTTCTGCGAGTGCCTCTTTGCTCTCAGGGTTTTGGACGCTACCAAGTGGTAACTGTTGGTCGGTTTTGCTAAGATTCGAAAGATATTTGACCATCTCGGCAGCCGCCCGCAGCAGGGGAACAGACGTTCTCTAGCCGAGGCGGCGGCAGGCCACGCTCACGGCCGACCTCGGGCCGCCCGCGCGTCCGCGCTCCGCCGGGGGGTTCGGGAGGCCAGGCTGCCCACCTCGGGCCCGGCCTCCTCTGACACGCGCCCGCGGAATCCGCCCGATGCCGACCCCCATCCCAGGCGCCGCGGGGCGTCCGCATGGACCGGGCATTTGGGGCCAGACTGCGGGATATAGGACAGAGGGGGCGTCCCTCCTCGGTAGGGGTGCGTCCGACTAGACCCCCATGCGGTGAATCCCCGACGGCCCCTCCATTTCTGAGCGGCTTGACTGGACTGTTCGCGAAAAGCTGGAGGGGTGGGGGCGAGAAATCGCGTGCGAGAGGGATCGGGGGTTGGGTGGGTGGTGTTCGTCGTCATAGAAAGCGTCGCGATACTGGTCCTAACGTCGGGCCCATCCATCGTCCTCCAGGTCCGCCTGTTTTACTGCAGCCGTCAGTAGCATCCGCGTCACCATTCCGCTTCTCGTCTGCATTCGCTGCCATGTGCTCCCCGTGCTTATGCTTCTCCTCTCGTCTAGATGCCGAGCGAGAGAGAGAGAGAGGAAGAAATGGCGAGATGGAGAAGGGTACATTCATAGACGTAGCCCCCGGCAGATGCGGATAAGAGTGAGGGGGCGGTGGCAACGTCGGCAGTCTGCGACTCTGGAAAGAAGCCCGCCGCAGGCGCCGAAGTTTCACAAATCATGCAACGAGCCCGCCGCAAGCGCCGATTTTTTCTTCAAACCAATGTGGATCGGTCGCGGGTGGGTCGCGGGTTGGGTCGCAGGTGGGTCGTGGGGTGGGTCGCGGGTGGGTCGCAAGTGGGTCGCGGGTTGGGTCGCGGGTGGGTCGCAAGTGGATCGCGGGGTGGGTCGCGGATGGGTCGCGGGGTGGGTCGCGGATGGGTCGCGGGTGGGTCGCGGGTGGGTCGCGGGTGGGTCGCGGGTGGGTCGCAGGGTGGGTCGCGGGGGTGGGTCGCGGGGTGGGTCGCGGGGGTGGGTCGAAGGGTGGGTCGCGGGGTGGGTCGCGGGGTGGTTCGCAGGGGGGACGACGACAACAAACAACAACAGCAGCAACAACAACAACAACACCAACATCAACACCAGCACCAACACCAACAACAACAACAACAACAACAACAACAGCAACAGCAACAACAGCAGCAACAACAACAACAACACCAACAACAACAACACCATCAGCACCAACAATAACAACAGCACCAACAACGACAACAACAACAGCAACACCAACAATGATTATAAGACTGTTCGCTCTTACTTGCCAGCGTGTCCGTCAAAACGAGTTCCCCACACCCTCGATACCAGCCTTTTTGTCTTCGATGACACCCCATTTGGGGGGAATGCTTCTCTTTGCGATGGGGCGGCGGGCTTAGACAGGCGGGCAAACCTGAACGGGCGGACAGTCCTTCGTGGGCGTACATGTGCCCGCAATTGAAATTGATGTGGGCCCTGCAAAAAGGAGGGGGGGACGAGGGAGAGTGGGGGGAAGGGAGGGGGAGGGACGAAGGAAGATGGAACACGCGAGGAGAGAAGGAGCGAGAAAGGGGGCGGTTGATTAGAGACAGAGAGAGAGAGAGGAAGAGAGAGAAAGACAGATGAGAGAGGTACATAAAGAGAGAGAGAGAGAGAGACAGAGAGAGAGGAAGAGAGAGAGGGGAGAGAGAGAGAGAGAGAGAAATCAAGAAATAACGAGGGAGGGAGGAGGCAGGAGAGGGGAGGGAGAAGGGAGGATGGAGAGGAGGGAGAGGGGAGGGTTCAGAGAGGCATGAGGATGAGGGAAGGGAAGGGAGAGAGGAGGGAGAGAGAAGGGAGGGGAGGGAGGAGGGAGGAAGGAGAGGGAGGAGGAGCAGGAAGGTAAGAGCGTGAACGTTCGAGGAAGTCCTGGGCGAACGCGCCGTTCCTGAAGGAAGTCCCGGGCGGGAGCCCACGACGGGCGGGCGATCCCCTGACGGGCGGGTCGGGCGGCTCTTCAGAAATGGATGTTCAACAACAACAACAACAACAACAACAACAACAACAACAACACCACCACCACCAACACCAACAACACCACCAACACCAATACCAACACCAACACCAACACCAACACCAACACCAACACCACAAACAACAACAGCAACAACAACAGCAACAACAACAACACCAACAACACAACAACAACATCAACAACAACGCAACATACATAATATTCACCACACATTGTCACTTCAGCCACGCACCCAGGGACAATGAATGACCGTTAGGCCCCCTCACCAAGCAATACAGGTATATATATATGTATATAGAGAGAGAGGGATAGAGAGAAACGCGAGGCCGCGAGGTAAGCAATGCAAGAGAAGGCGATCGTTGGAACAAAGGGCAACGTGTCCAGATATATGTTTCAATTTGACAAAAGGGGCCAAACACATGCAATAGTGACGAGGAGTAGGAACGACACAAAGAGATGCATGGGAGAATCGACAAGTTGAGGGCAGCGAGCGACTGCTGACAGTGAGCCAGGGGCCCATGCACCCACACGGGTCCTCCTTGAAGATTCGTAGCATCTGCTCAGGATTGTAACTGATGTGGTTGACCTGCCCCAGCGGGCCCGCTACTGACCGCAGGCGAACGGCACGTCCAAGCCCTGTCCTCGGTGGCCCCGTCTGTGCCGAACTCCCGGGCGCGGGCGCCCGCACCCCTACGACGGCACCAGGAACCCCCCCAAGGAGCTCTCGGGATCCCGAGGCAGACCAGGGAGCGCTCCGAGACGGCCTCGAGGTGGCCCAACAGGGCTCCCAACAGGGCCCCAAGACGCAATCAAATTTGATAACGATTGGCTTAGTGCGTGGAAGCACCGGATGGTGACAACTGCCAGCTTCCCAACTGATGGGAGGAGGATGCCACCACGATACAACAGGGAAGGAGCACAATGTGGGCGACAGGCAGCAGACCTGGTGGGCAGTGTGGTTGCCAAAGGCGGGCGAGGAGGAGGGAGGAGCAGGAAGAGCAGGAGGAAGAGAGAGAGGGAGAGAGACAGAGAGAGAGAGCGAGCGAGCGAGCGAGGGAGGAGGAGGAGGGGAGAAAGAGGATGAGGAGGAGGAGGAGGAGGAGGAGGAGAAGGACAAGGGAGAGGAGAAGGTGGAACAGGCCCGTCGGGGAGGCGGGCGTGCCGTCTGCCCCTACGTTGCGCCAGGCCGGAGCGCGAATGCTGCAACACAGTGCCGCGCGGCAAGCAGCGCAGCATGGAAGAACAGCAACTGGGAGTGCGCCAGGTGCGGCCCGTGAACGGGCGTTGTCTAGCTGCTCGAACCTATGCGACTCACAGAAAGAAAGATAGCGCAGCGCACGGGGTGCGTTCGTGTAAACACCCAGATGCTACAGCGGCCAGTGAAACACAGGTTTTAAACTTCGCGGCCAGCTGGTCAGGTTTTAAATTTCGAGGGCATGAGCGGAGCGAAAAAAGCCCAAACTACACACACGCACACACACACACACACACTCAGCCCCTCATGTGTTTTGCAAGATTCTAGCGCTCTCGTTTTCCCAAGTGTCCGACAACACCAGACGGTCCAAGAGGCCGCCGAGATCGCTCCATGACAGCCCCAGGGGCCACCATCAGAGCCCCGATATGACCCAAGCGGGCCCCAAGACGGCCCAACGAATTCCGAAGACGGCCCAAGAGGCCCCCGAGAGTCCCCGAGAGGCCTCGGAGGCCGCCAGCACCCCAGAAGCACTCACGCAGCCCCAGAAAGCCATACAGCCGTTTTCCTATTCGGCTTAAAACTTCCACGGGTGCTGCGGGGCGTGAGCAGTGCTCTGCCCTCGCGCGCTCGAGGAGCATTGACTTCTGGGGGACCTCCCGGCGCAATTAGCCTCCTCCCCCCGCCCGCGCCCCACTGGAATCCCATCAGAAGGACAGGCGCGCTCTTGCTTGGGATGGGGGGGAACTGGGATCGTCTGAAACTAATCCGCCACCGTGACTCGAGGTACGTAATGGAGCGCCCTGAGCTTCTCAAGGGTTCCCTGCTCTCTGCACTCAGGATTGAGGGATTCGAATTCTGGGGGCTGGGGGACCAATTGTTAGGTTTTCCCGGCGTTCCCGCGCGCTCCCGCGCGCTCTCGGGCTCGGTCGCATGGATTTTCCAGAGGCCACAAGGCCCCAAGACAGGCCAGGAGGGCCCCAAGAAACGCCCAGGAGGCTTCCAAGACAGCCCAAGAGCGCTCCAATACGCCCAAGATGGCAACAAGACGGCCCAAGAGGCCCCGAAGAAGCCCCAAGAGCGCTCCAAGATTGCCCAAAGAGGCAGCAATCATCGATTGTCCTTGTGTGGTTTCGATATTTTTCGTGTTCTCGCGTTTTCGGGCTTCTGACGCTCCAGGATGGCCCCAGAGGCCCCCAAGACCGCCCCAAAACGGCCCAAGTTGCCCCCAAGAGGGCCCCAAGATGGCCCCAAACGGCCCCCAAACGGCCCAAGAGGCGCCCAAGCTCGTCCAAGAGGGCCCCGAGACGGCCCCAATAGGGGCTCAAGAGGGGGAACACGAACCGACAATTTGAGCCGTCCGCCCCAAGAGGCCCCCCAGGAGGCCCCAAGAGGCCCCAAAGAGAGCCCAAGAGGCCCCCCAGAGGCCCCACGAGGCCCCCAAGCGGCCCCCAAGAGGCCTCCGACAGGCCCCCGAGATTCTTCCTACGATATCCAAACGAACATTCAAAGGGCCTCTAATCCACAACCCAGACACGATGGCGGGATGGGCCGAAGGCCATTCGATACTTATACCATCTTACAGCGGGGTACCGCAAATCCTGACTTAGAAACAGTGCGTTGAGCATCCCGTGCCACTGAGCAGAGGTCCCGACCAATTTCGAAGCCCGCATCGCGTCGCCGCGAAGCGTTCGGACTGCCAATGTGGAACCACCGTCGACACTCTCATCATCATCGTCGATAATTGCCATAATCCTTATTGTTCCATTGCCATGAGCGCCCAATGCAGCTACTATGTATGCATCATTTGTTGCGTGGGGTTTCGTCGCAGAGATCAGAGTCCGTGACAATTGCAATGCGCTTCTGAAGGGATTAAGTAGGAGCCTCCAGTGCTCTGCGCTGATAAAGACGTGCGCTGTCGCCAAGTCGTTGCCACGTCTGCATACATTCCAGCTCCGACGAGGCAGGCGCTGGCGAGGTTCGCTTGGAAACGCAGGCGTCATGCAGCAAAAAGTGCAGCGGATTGAGCCAATGGCTACGGAACCCAGCTTCCCGATGCTTTCGAATTCCCAGCAGAGGGAAAGCATCGAAAGCAGCACACTTTGCAGACAGGGGGGAATGTTTCATTCGATATGCCTGTGCATGTGTCATAGCGATGTTGCGTTTTCGTCGTGCGGTGGCGATGGTTGCCATCGAGCAGACCCCTCTTCAAAATTCTACGACTCCGAGTGGGCCTGTGAATTGAAAGCTGGAATAAGGAAGTGGCTGTACAAGACTCCTCAGGAATCCTCGACGAGGCCCCCAAAAGCCCCAGATGGGGCCCAAGTGCCAGGACGTCCCCAGGCGCCCCCCAGGAAGCCGCCAAGAGGCCCCCTGAGAGGCGTCCCAGAAGAACCCGCGAGGCCTCCAACGCACCCCTTACCCGCGACACAGACCTTCGGTCGGGCGTGCTCTGTGGAGCGCTGCCGTGCAACTGCCCTGCCATTGTTTCTCCCCCCACGAAAGACTCACGCGAAAAACTCAACGAAACAGCCGGCATCCACCACGCCGGAGCCCCCGCGAGAAGGCAAGCAATTGCCAACGACAGTGCAAGATGGGCTGGCGGAGTGAGTGAAGTGATGGACAAATCGAACGACATGCCATGTTCTCAACAGGCACACTCCGTGAGGATGGCTGGCACTCTCTCAGCTCCAATAACAAGCCCAGACCCTCAACCGCAAACTACAGCCGGACTCCATCGGATGCCCCGAATATGTCAAACAGCTGCCCGAGACGAACCAGAACCACGCTGCTCAGCAGGACGCGCGACGTACAGCCAGGAGCGAAGGGAGCCCCCGACGTGGGAACAGGAGCCATCTCGCGGCACGACCGAGCAGGTGGGGCGGCAACGCCTGCCGCACCCAAGACGAGAACGAACGGGCCAGTGCCACTGCTCAGGTGCTGCCACAGAGGACCCCGGCCCGAGGCGGCCCCAGCGTTCCCAGAGAGGCCAGGATGGCCCCCGGAGCACCGCTCGCGATGCCCAGGGCCCCAGAGGCCCCGAAGTGGCGCGAGGAGCCTGGGGGCACCGTGGGCCAGCACCACTTCCGGCGCAGCCTCTGGTGCGAGTCACAGCACACGTCATGAAAGGGGCGCAGGGCCGCGGATTCGCTGCCCTCCGTGACCTGGAAGAACGCCCAGTGGGTGTCAGCATCTGCAACATGGACGAGGGCCCAAAGCGTGGCGCTTCGACAGGCACGCGCGCCGGCGGGGGCACTGCCGATGTGCTGCGCCTTGGAAAAGCGCATCGGGCTACGATTCTCGGCATGACGCTAACAGTCCCCGCTTCCCTGCCAACCCGCCCCTGGTATCCTGAATAATCCTGTCCAGTCGCTGTATGGCAGCATCTGGATGTTCTGCATTCCAGTCCGCCAGAATGCCTGAGACATGGACGAAGGGGGGGATACAAGAGACTTCTTCGAGCACACCTCTGAGTTGTGCCACTGGCCCAGCGGAGTCTCGCGACGGCAGGCGGACATAAGGGGCAAGGAGAGGTACCTGTCACAGGCGAAGCACGGCCACAAGAACGTGGGTGAAGGGTGAGGGGGGGAGTCCCTTCGCCGGGAGCCACGGCACAAGAACGTAGGTCAAGGGTTGAGTCCCTCCGCCGAGGGCCACGGCCCAATGGGGACCCCCCAAACAAAGGACATCCCAAGGTGTATAGCCCAGACACTAAGATCATGAAACTACTCCTGCAAAACTATGGTGTAGGTGCTCGTTAACGGGGCCTTCGAAGAACTAATCGCTCCACGTCCGTCGATTTGCGTCGAAGGCTGCGACGAACGTCCGTCGATCTGAATCGAACTTGAGTAGAACTTGAGTCACACTTGAGCCGAGCTAGAGTCAACCGGATCCTTTGGGTGGGCCTCAGGAAGGTACCCAACACAAGCTGGAATTGTTCGTTATCCCCGTGCTAGCTGTAAGCCCCGCCCCTATCTCTCCGTGACTTGTCAAAGCTGCTCAGGCCCGCTCGCGGAGCGCGCACGGTCTGAGTGCCCCCCACCCCTTCTTCAGCGTCACCCCCCGCTCCACCGTAGAGAATGCCACCGCGCCCTGCTTGCCTGTCCAACGTCATTTGCTGGCATGGCTGGCGCCTGAAAGCGCAACACGAGACCTATACGGCGATGCTCGTCGACACACTCCGCGGTTGAGGGGGCAGGGACAAAGAGGCGGTGGGGGGGTAGAACAGCAGGGGGCACGGGGAGGATGACGAGACACGACGCTGAAAGACGAAGAGCATGCAGGAGGAGAGAGGAGAGAGGACAGGAACGAGGCGCAACTGAGAGGAAGAAAGGGTGGAGCAGCAGCGGCCAGAAAGAACGAGATGGAGGGATAACATTGCGGTCGCACGGCGCGCCTGGCAAGACCTCCGCCACGACCAGGGAGATGCTCCTCGTGCCTGCCCGCCCGACCGATGCCCGGATTATGCACCTGGGATCTGCAGAGCCCTCGGCCCCTTCCAAGGGCGGCCAACTCTTCGGCTCCAATCTCCGATGGGCCCGGGCGTTTGGCGAGGGGGGGCGACAACTCGGCAGAGAAACAAGCGATGCCATAATCAGATCGGATCGGCGGAAATCGGCGGCCACGTCGGGAAAAATCGGATCAGCAGGAATCGGCAGGCTAGTAGGCTTCCACGACATCGAACAAGCAGAAATGGGCAGGTTTGTAAGCCTCCGCTGAAAAGTCGGAGTCCAAATCAGAAACCGAATTCGAATCTCGAACCGTAGTCGGAATTCCATGGAATTCGAACCCAATCGAACCAAAACGGTCGAGATGAACCCTGGATAGGGAAACGCAGAGGTGCCGATACCGCTCCCCCCCGGGACCTTCCCTGGGGCTCTCTGACCAGAACTTCGAAGTGGATCCGGCGGTGGCGACGACGGCCTCCCAGGAGGCCCAACACGGGGCAAACGAGGGAAGGGCAGCACCGGCAACAAAAACGGCAAAACGGAACCGGTAAAAAACGGCCTTGTCGTTTCCAGGGCCCACTAGGGCTCCGCCCCGATCTCGCCTCGAGGGCGCCCGGAGGTCCGCGGGCGGGCCGCCCGGCGGAGCAGATGCCCAGGGCAGCAGGGCCCCCTCTCCTCGTCGGCGCTCTCGCGGGCGCCGGCCGCTCCCTCCCTCGGTCGCCGCCCTGGGCCTCCTGCTCCTCCGCCCTCCTCCCTCCTCCCTCCTCCAGGCTCCCTCTTCCTCCTCCTCCCTCCTCCCTCCTCCCTCCTCCTCCTCCCGCCTCCCTCCTCCCTCCTCCTCCTCCCTCCTCCTCCTCCCTCCTCCCTCCTCCTCCTCCCTCCTCCAGGCTCCCTCTTCCCTCCTCCTGCTCCCTGCTCAGCTCCACCCCTCCTGCAGGCCTGTGGCCCTCGTGGCTCTGAGGGTGGGCAGGGTTTGGCTCCGAAGGGGCACGCTCTTTTCGGTAATCCCCGGACTCCGAATCGGAACCAGCGGTTGCCAAATCGTGGTGTTTCCCGTTCTGGTCGGCGGAATAGTCCCGGGGGTTGAGGGAATGCAGGTCGTTATCGAAGAGGGTGGAGGCAATGCAGGTCGTTATCGAAGAAGCTGCCGCAATCGTACTCGTAGTAGGCGGCGCGGCTGTATCCTCGCTCGTCGTCGGCTGCACGGCCGTTGTCCACCAGTACCTCCACGACGACGAAATTGGTCACCCCTTTCGGGCTGCACGGTGGTGCCGTTCCTGGTGTTGGGCTTGGTGGCGTACTTGGTGTCGTAGTGGTGGTGGTGGTCCTTGGGATACCTGTTGCGCAGCTCGTTGTGGTACCTGGGCTGCCTGTTTCGCAGCGCGTTCGCGCATCGGGACTGCCTGTTACGCAGTTCGTACTTGGACGCTCTCGCGAAGGCGGTCGCAGTAGTGATAATGATGTCGTCGGGTCGAGGTTGCATCCTATGCTGAATGTTGTGCCCCATTCGCGTTAGGGCTGCGTCTGCTCGCACATTCTCTCTCGGAGTCCTTGCCGGTACGTCTTCGCAGAGGGGGGGTAAGTCTGGTAGCCTTGTAGTTCGACGACTGGTGGTTGACGTTGTAATCGCCGTGGCGGCACCCTTTGACCGCGGCCGCGGTTGGGGGGCTGAGGCCGACCCGCTGGGCGCGCGGCGCGCGCGGGCGAGTGCGGGGATTAGATCCCGCATGTAGCCTTCCTGCTCCTTCTCTTTCTTCTCCTCCTGCTGTTTCTCCTTCTCCTCTTCCCGCTCCATCTCCTCCTATGTCTTGTCCTCCTCCTCCTCCTCCTCCTCCTCCTCCTCCTCCTCCTCCTCCTCCTCCCCCTCTAGCTGCCTTTTCCACCTCCTGTTACTCCTGCGCCTCTTGGCGGCGCGTTGAGGGGGGTAGGGGGAGCGGGGGAAGCTTTTTAGAAGGAGACTGCTTCTTAGAAGGCGCGGGCCGTACATCTACAGACAAGGCCCGCACCTTCTAAAAAGCTGGGGTGCTTTTAAGAAGCCTCCCCCCTCCCCCTATACCCCCCTTGTGCGCATGGCCGATTCTCATGTTCCCTGCTCCTCCCTGCTTTATCGGCTGTGGCGGGGCAACGACCCTTACGACGGGTCGGCCTCTGTACGGTGGTCTGGAGTTTTACCGAAAAACGGCCTGCTCACAGCCGGCCCGTCTGTGCGTTCGTTTCTTCGGACGGGGGCCCGAAGCTGGTTCAAGGCACAATTGCGCTCACAGAGCCCTGGGCGGCCTTCTTGGATCATCCTGCGTCGCCCCCGATCGAAGAGAGGGGTCGTGTTTTCCCTCTTGATGTTGTTGGAGTGGCTGGGGCCTCGGCGAAAGCCTCCATGGGAGTCCAGGGAGCTCTGGAGGCCTCTTGAGACCTCTGGAGACCTCTGTAGATTTTCTCCTCCGCCCCCCACTGCAGACTCGAGACCTCGATCCTTTGAGTGATGTCCATGCTTTACCTCTGTCTCTCTCACTCTCTCTCTCTCTGTCCAGCCACTGCGTGGACGCTCCAAACCCCTTCGCGGGTGGCGTCCACGGCCTCCTCCTCCTCCTTTCCCTGCTCGATCTTCGATCCTCGATCCTCCACCCATTCCTCCTCCCATTCCTTCTCCTCCTCTTCCTTCATCCTTCTCCTTCCTCCCCTCCCCGCTCTCTCCTGCACTTCTCTGCTCTATCTCCTGCTCCGCCTACTTTCTCCTTGGCCCGTCCTCTGCCTCTCTCTTTATCTCTCTGCACCCTCTCTCCTCGTTCTCCTGCTCCATTCGACCCTTCTCAGCAGCACAGCTCCCCTCTTGCACGGCCCTCCTCAGAAGGCGCGAGGCCATCCGAAGCGCGGGGACACGCACAAGCCAAAGCCACAGACGACCTCGACCGATGTCCCAGACCCCCGACGCCGTGATTTCCTCGCAGCTTCGACCTCCAGAAGTACCCCCCCCTCCCCGGAGCCGGTGCTTCGTCCCGAGTCGTTCTTGGACGGTCCCGAGGCCCAGCACGGGCCCGCAGAGGCCGAAAGCAGCGAGAGAACACCTCCCGCCCGCCGCGCATGTTCTTTCACAGCGCGAGGGGGCCCGGGCTGGGCGAAGCCACGGAGCCACGGCTGCGGGCCACGGCTCCGCGCACAGCGCTCCTGTGGCCTGCGGCCGCGGGGGGCCCTCGAGCGGCGGCCGAAGCGGCGGTTCCCACTCGCAGCGCACGCGGGAGAACGGGGGACACGGCGACCCCCATGGGGGTTTTTCGACTGGAGCAAGAATCGGCGGCGGGCGAAGGGGGGGAGGTGAGAAGGAGAAGGCCCCGGCGGGGCTTCTCAGAAGCCCTCTGGTCTTCCCAGAATGTGTTGCCGAGCCTTCTGAGAAGGCCCGCCCCTTCTCACTTCCAGCCCAGGCGTGCCGCCGCCGAAGATTTTGGGCCCAACCCTGGAATCCGCATATGAACATATACGTACACGCATATATAGTATATATATATATATATACTAGAACCATCGCGCGCGCTTCGCGCGCGCTCAGGTTCTAGCAGGCTCCAGGCCTTGACGAATTCACTGCTCCACTGAAGTAGTGGACCACAGTCCACGCATGCCAATCTGCATTCCGAAAGGCCTTCGAGGAAAATGGTTGTGTAGGGGGGCGGAGGCCGTATGAATCGGGTTCCCAGAAGGCCTTCTGGAAGCATGGGTTTGGGGCGTCTTGGGGAGCATGTTGGGGCGTGCCGTCGTCGTCGCAATGTCGTCGTCGCCTATTGGGGCGCGCCGCCGTCGCCGTCGTCGTCGTCGTCGTCGTCGTCGTCGTCGTCGTCGATTCAAGAGGGCACTTAGGGCAACTTTGTGCGAAACGATCTGCGGAGGGCCACGAGAAGGTGATCAGTCATGTTCCCAATCAACTTCCCAGACAACTCTCCTGTAGCATGATGGTACTTCGAAGCCTCCGGAGACTCGCGGGCCCATGATGAACCATGTTCCCAGAGGGCTTTCTGGGGACATGGTTTGTTGGGGTGTGTTGGGGGGCCTCTTGGGCGTTCCATGGGAGCCCCTTGGGGGTCTCTTGGGGCTTCCTGGGGGCCTCTTGGGCGCCTCACAGGGCTTCGTGGGAGCCTCGTGGTGGCCTCCGGGGGCCTACAGGCGGCCTCTAGGGCCAGAGACCTCGAAATATCGGTTGGCGGTCCCCCCCTGGGGCACACTTGGGTTGTCTGGGGAGCCTCCTGGGCCGTCTTGGGGCCCTCTTCGGGGCTTCGTGGCCCGTCTTGGCGCGAACTGAAGGGACTCCGAGCGAGGCCGTGAGGGAGCGCTGGGAAGCGGGGAAAGCGAGAAAGCCTAAATCCTTCAAAAACTATCGGAAAATTAGTGAATCTTGCCGTTGGGGAGCCTCTTGAGTCCGTCCTGGAGCGTGTTGGAGTCCTCGTCGGCCGTCTTGAGGGCAGCTTGGGCGTCTTCGGGGTCTCTTGGGACCGTCTAGGGCCCTCTCGGAACCTCCATTAGCCTGTCGTGCCCTGCTTCGGGGCGGGCCCGGGCCGCCTCGGGACCCCTCGGGGCCTTCTCTTGGCGCTCTCTTGGGGCACACTTGGGTTGTCTGGGGAGCATCCTGGGCCCCTGGGCCGTCTGGGGACCCTCGTCGGTGCCTCGTGGGCCTTCTTGGAGCGATCTGAAAGGCCTCCGAGGCCGTGAGGGTGCGCTGGAAAGCGGGAAAAGCGAAAACGCCAAAATCCAAAACACTCGGAAAACGAAAGAATCTTGCCTTCCAGGGCCCTCTTGTCCGTCCTGGAGCGTGTTGGAGTCCTCGTTGGCTGTCTTGACGGCATCTTGGGCGTCTTCGGGGCCTCGTGGGACCGTCTTGGGTCCTCTCGGGGCCTGTCGTGGCCTGCTTCGGGGGGGGCTCGGGCCGCCTCGGGAGCTCTGGATCCCCCACACAACTCCTGGTAAGCACCGATGGGGGGAACAAGCAGCGGCCCGCCGCCCCCCCCCC